TTCCCCGGGGCTTTGTGCGTCTTGTGTCTTCGCTGGGCTTTCCCCTTAGTCGGCGGAGGACCGGCCCACCTCAGTTTGGCTCAGTTAGCCCCTCGCTTCACCCTCCTGCCCCACTCCGGCTGCTGCTCCATTTCTCTGCCTCCCCGCTCGCACGTAAGGGGCAGGGCAGAGGAAGTTCGGATCCCCTCCGGGGCTGAAGAACTCCCATCTGCCCAAAAGATCATGCTGAGAGAGTGATGAAGAGTCGCCGCATTTCGGAGTCAGATTCCAAGTTGCTTCTAAGCGTCGTGCCCTCTGAAGTCGGGGTGTGCCTACCAATGGATGGTGGGCTCTCGTGTAATTAGCGTTCTCTTTCCTAGTGACTCATAAAACAGTAGTGCATCTTAAAAATGATGGCGTCCTAGATTCAATGATCTACAGTCGGTAGAGATAGGCCTGTGAACCAATTCAGTGGAAAGGGCCTGCACCCAGGGTCCCCTAAGTCCTCCCAACTATTTTTTAAAGGCTCCACGCACGCATCATGGCGTTGAGCTGCCCTGGACGTCTGCCACATGTCACACCCAGCCCCAAGACCCTAACTCAATGAAACCACATCTGCAAGCTCAGGCAGTGAGATTGTCAGTCCAGCAACCTCAGCCTGCCTGAGGCAACAAAGTGTCTTTCCCAGTTTAAAGTAAAATGCGGATACCTCTAGTTAAACGTGGCAGAATATTTTCTTCACATCCCTCCCCTCTAAATTGATAGGAAAAGAGTTTTGTAAAGGCAAAACCCCATGAACACAGAAGTGAAATATTGTGCAACTGGAGGAAGGTGGACAATGGGACCTGCTTTAGCCAACTGGAGGTTAGTGTCCGAGGGGTTGTGTGAAAATGTAGTTGGAAAAAGGAGACCCCACACCTCTATCCCTACTGGCAGTGGCTGGGCTCTCAGACCAGGGTCCTGTTCCAAAAGTAAGGGAGTTGATGAGATTCTTGCCCTTTTCCCACCTCCACCCCAGCTCCAAGTCTAACCCCCAGCCACACATGTGCCACCCATGAACCTCAGAGCTCCTCTCTGCAGCAGCTCCTGGCTCAAAAGAAGACTGGCGGCTGGAGGGTGCTCAGGAGAATGGCCTGGCTAAATCCCTGGCCTCGAAACTCACCAGGCAATAAGCCCCACCAGTAAGATACCACTCTTAAGAGCACCTGGGCAGCCCAGGATCGCCAGACACCTAAGGAGGAGGAAGACAAAAACGGAAAAGGGAAAGGGACTCAGAAGACAATAAAGGAAGAAGAAAAGCTAAAACCATATCCTCAGAGATATCAGAGAGGATGTTGCATCCAAAGTCAAAACAATATGTTGCACACCTGAAACTAATAAAACACTGTATTTTAATTATCTGGAAGTAAGATAAAAACTTAAAAGAAAACCAAAATCAAGAACAAGAGACCATAAAGAAAGAACATTCAGCAAATGAGAAAGAGTGCTTACGAATTAAAAATATGAGAGGAAAATAACAATCAATGGAGGGTTGAAAGATACAATTGAAATCTTTCAGAATGTATAAAACAAAAGCTGGTAGAGAACAGAAAATATAATCAATCACACTGAGCAGCATTCTCTAGTGCTTAGAACTGGCCTGGTACCTCACCAGTCTCCGTAACAGAGGGGGACAGATGAAGTGGTGAATGGGCTGGGACTTGCCACCACCACTGCAGGGGGTAGGGGCACAAGCACCACTTTCTGGTAGCAGCTTCCCCTATGAAATTTGACAATGATATATAATAAGGGATTCAGAGTGCTTGTGTGCTGGGCACTGTTCTCATTACCTTACAAACGTTACCTTGTGTGATCTTTACAACAATTTCATGGAGTGGGTACTGTTATTATCCCATTTCTACTGACGAGGAAGTAGGGGCATAATATCACACAGCAGGGAGCAGCAGAATGGCCCAGAGCCTATGCCCTTAACTACTGCATATTGTGCCTCTCAAAAGATAATTCCAGCATCTAAATAAAAGTTCCACGAAATAAGGAGAGGGGAAAATAAGCAAAAACAAACAAAAAACAAAACAAACAAAAAAATGCCCAAAGAAAATTTCCTAGAACTGAAGGGTTGGGATCTCTGGACAATAGATGAAAGAAAAGTTTTTAATCCAGAAACATCATTGAGATTTCCAAAGGGAGGGAGGGAGAGAGAGAGGAAGAGGAAGAGACAGGGAGGGAAATCACAAAGGGTTAGAATTCAGAAAGGCATGGGAAGTCTTGGGACTAGAAGAAAATCACATGATACCTTCAAAATCCTGGGAAGAAATAGTTTTCAAGTTAAGCAAACTTTTGTGCCTAGCTACACTAAAAAGCAGATGTGAGAGTAGACCAAGGACAAATAGGCAAAGACTCCATAACTTCCCATGCACCCTCTCTCAGGAAACTTGTAGGATGTTCTTCCTCAAACAGAGGGTGAATGAAGGAAGAGGAAAGCGAGGGATCAAGTAAAAGGAGAAAGGAGGTGCTCCAGGATGCTGGTGAAGGAGCAACTCGTGCTGACAGCTGGGTCACAGGCCCAAAAATAAGCAGCTTGGGGCAGAGAGCTGGTATAGTGGGGGCTCTGGGAAAAGATGAAACTTAGCAGTCAATTGTGCAATGAATCTCAAGTATTGAGAGGTTCACACTTCTGCAGGAGAATCTAAGAATGAATTAATACGACATGTATAGAAAACTACGCAAACAAGAAAGGCAATTATTAACTCCAGGCAAAACAAAAAGTTGTGCAAGAAAGCAAATATAACCCTAGGACACCTTGTTCTCTGCTAAGACCTGCAGTAATGAAGCTGTAATAATACACACCACACTGGGATGATGCTGGGTCAGGAAACTGAGGCCAGTGACCCCCCCCATCTTCTCCAAGGACACCAGCAGGGGACACCTTAAGTAGAAAAACCAATAAAAAGCAGTAAAAGCATGTGTGGTTTGTGAAAGATGGATTTTACATGCCTGAAGAAATAGCTAAGGGTTAAATCTGGGAAGGATCAAGAGCTGGAGACTGCATTGATCATTTATTGTTGGCTTTAAAAAAAAAAACCCATTCCACTTTCAAAATGATATGTATATAACTTTGATAAGATAAAAGTTAAAATGAAAACCTCAACATAAGCATGATTAAATGAAGCAATGTATTGATACTTTTGAGTTCAGTTTAATCATGGGTATAATCTGTTATGCATTTGACACTCAAATTGTTTAAGATAGCATCAGGGTTTCCAACTAGACTTGTATGTTATTGTAGATTTGTTATTTTAAGTTGAAAGAGTAACTTTGTGGAGTATTGGGATGTTTAAGACAACTTGAGATTCACTATGTTTGTACATTTATTTGATACACCTTGGTAATTTTGTTTTGGTTTTTGGTTAGGGTAATGTAGTAGGTGGAAAAATGATACCCTCTCTCCAGGATGTCCATGCCCTAACCCCCAGAACCTGTGAATGTTACTTTATATGGCAAAAGAGATTTTGTAGATATGATTAAGGAATTTGGGATGGATTATTCAGGTGGACCCAACCTAATTACATGAAGCTTTCCTGGCTGCAGAAAACCACAGATGGTTCATGAGAAAGACTCAACCGGCAGTTGTTGGCTTTGAAGATGGAGGATGAGTACATGAGCCAAAGAATGGCGGTGCCTGTAGAAGCCAAAAAATGACCTTCAGTTTATAGCGGGCAAGAAGATGGGGATCTTGGCCCTACTGTTGCAAGGAAATTAATTCTTGGCCAGTGCCCCGTGCCCATGCCATGCCTGACACCTGCAGGCCAACAACCTGAAGGAGCAGAATATGGAAACCTAGGAAATAGTTCTAGGCTCACCTAGAACCTCCAGAAAGGAATGCAGCCTTGCTAACACCTTGAGTTTAGTCTGGTGAGACATGTACCAGATTTTTGACCTGCAGAACTACGATAAATTTGTGGTGTTTTAAACCACTAAGTTTGTGGTAAATTCTTATAACAAGAGAAGTAACACAGTGGTGAGCTTTCTTGGTCTGACAATAGAAATACTTCAAAAGAAACCTGAATGCACTAAGTTTATACATGCAATTTAAAATGCTGAAGAATGTTTAACTCAATTTGAAGATGGATGGGAGGTGGTCCAGGAGAAAAGAGGCTAGGGCAATGAGGGGTGGGAGGGAGTTGAGTGGGAGAGACAGGGAGTCAGGGGCTGATATCCTCAGGACTTGGGAGGCAGCTGCCACAGGAGGGGGTGAGTGACGTTACATGGGGGGTAGTGAATTTGAGAGGAGGCACATCGAGGAGCAAGGAGGATGCCTAAACCCAACCCCTCCAGGCCCAGGAATGTGGGAGAGAAAATAGCCCTATGGAGAGGGCTGCAGGGGCCAGAACAGTCTGCAGAGGGGGTGGCAGGTCCCTGTCCCAGAGCAGTGGAAAGTCAGCAGAGGGCTCCAAGATGGGTCTGCACTGGGCAGGGGCTGGAGGGCTGTGCAGGAGCCATGTCGGGTTGGGGACTCTTGAAGTGTCTCTGCCATCTGCTTCTCCTGCCAGGTCGTGGCCCTGCCTAGTGCCCAGCATTGTGCCTGATGCCTGCAGGTATGGTACCACTGGCTTAATGTGGGGGTTCCCGGTGTGGGTCTGTGGTTCCAACAGGGTGTGGAGCATTTCCCTGGGCAGGTATCTGTCCAGGACTGATCCCCCACCCCCACACTCTGGCTCCCTGCAGGGCAGCCTCCCCCATGCTGAAGGCTCAATCACTGACCAGATATCTTGGGGTGGGAAAGAACTGTTGGCCAGGAAATGGACGATATGGGAAGGAACTGCGAGTTGTGGAAGCTGGCTAGGTGGGGGAATCCTGATCCTAAGGACATGTGGGGCCTAACTACTCCCCTGACCCCCAACCCAGGCTCCTTTACCCCCTGATGGACCCCAAACGCACCCACCCCCCACCCCACTCCAGGGCCTCCTTGAAAGCTGTGGAAGGCAGAAGTTCCTCACTAGCAGGCATTTGGTCATTAGCCCCCAAGCATGTAAGCAGAGGTCAGCCCCTGGTCCCCTGAGCCCTGGGCCAATGCTGAGCTTCCCCATGTGGGCGGCCAGGGCTGGTCCCTGGGGGCTGGGGTGCGAGGTCACGGCTGAGCTCCAAGGTACTTGAGGAAGGTGCTTTCCAGGAAGGCAGCCAGCTTGGTCCGGTCATCCTGCAGGGTGGGAGGGAGGCATGGGGTGACAGGGGCGCAGACTCTGTGTCCCCCGCGCAGCTCGGCTGGGTCAGCCCACACACCTCGTGAACGAAGCCATAGTGTACCAGCTCGGTGGCAAGGTCCTGGGCACTGTCGGCTGCAGCAGGGGCACGGGCAGGGGCGGGACAGAGGTGTGAGGCCATCACCTGGGCCCACACCTGCCCCCATCCCTGCCTGGGCCCCCGCCTGGCCTACTTGGGAGCAGGTCATAAGTGAGCTGCCGGTGCAGCCGGTCCTCCAGCACCAGAAGCAGAGTAAGCTGCGGAGGTAGGGGGGCGCGGTTGGCTCCCAGAGTCCCCCAGCCCCCCCACTGCTTCCCCTCCCTTGCTCCTCTGTGGGCCCCAGCCCCTGCCCTGCTCACATGCCAGCGGGCCTTGTCCTCACTCCTCTCCAGGTTGCACTGCATCTGGATCACCTGGGGACAGGGATGGACCAAGGTCACCCACACAGGCTGGACCGTAGCAGCTGAGCAGTAAGAGCAGAGACCGCCTCAGGGGGCAGAAGGAACAGTAAGGACTGGAAACGGGGGTAAGTCTCTAAGGAGAGTCTAAGAAGCACATTCACTACCAGCACCCTGGCAAGTAAAGGAAAACTTCCAGAAGAGTAGACACTGAGTCTGGGCACTGAAGGATACACAGAGTTTTCACAGGTGGGGAGAGGACCTGAACAAAGAGAGAGCTGTGAGAAGCGGTAGAAGGAAGGGGTCAGTGCGAAAAGGGGCAGAGGCATGGGACGCCAGCAGCGCCAGCCCTCAGAACACCTGGGGGGCAGGCTGAGAGCCTCCACCGTCCCTGTGCGCAGCTTTGGCTGTTAGGACATGAATCCTGGCTGCACCGTGGAGGGAAGCCAGGAGGAAGGAGGCTAGGTTGGGGGCTGGTTCACCATCCAGGTAGGAAAGGGGGGTGGCCTAGATCGGGGTGGAGACCACAGAAACATACTCAAGGCCAAAGCCAGAGCCTCTGGAACCCAGTAGACATGGACATGGAAAGGGGGAGAGGGGCTGAGGCTGATCAGGGCAGGCCCCTGGCCAGAAGGGAGCTTTACAGGAGGAGAGATTGGGGGAAACACAATGTCTGGGAGGACTTGGAGAAGACGCCAGGACACAAATGTCAGGGAATCAGCAAGCCGAGGGCGGGGGATCAGAGAGGCCTAGGAGTAGATGAGATTCTCAGATGAAGGCTGCTTGGAGCACAGCACGATCAGGGCAGGGCTGGGGGGCAGGAAGCAAGGGATGGGGGAGGGGCCTGCAGGGGGCAAGGAGCCTCTGAAAAGGGGGTATCTTAGCTTGTCCTACCATCTCTTATGCCCCACATCAGGGTCAGCCAGGACCTGTTTCTGGCAGCCTGGAGGAGTGCTGGGCTGGGGGGCACTCCAAGCCCCTGGCAAGAGACCCCTCTGGGCTATGGACAGGCCTGAAGATGGGCACGGTGCAGCAGGAGCAGGGGCTCACCTTTCTGGTCTCCGAGTCAAAAGGTTCTGGCGTCGGGGTCTTGGCCTTCTGGGCCTCCTCAGGGGGTGGGGCCAGCACACGGGGCAGCCCCAGGGGCCGAGCCGCCGCAAAGTTCATCAGCGGGTAGATCCCATTCCTGAGGATACACTGGGGTGGCTGGGGGCTCAGGCCTGGTAGCCACCGGTTCCCCAAACTCACGGCAGCTCTCACCTGACATCCTCCAGGAATTTGTCAAGCTCCAAGCAGGAGACCTCCGAGTACCTGGCACAGGTGTGAGAAGCACATGAAGGGGGCCAGCCAGCCCACCCCACCAGTGGGGCAGAACTGGGTAGGGGCTGGCCACGTGGAGAGGAGAGGCCTCTGGGCAGCCCGCGCTCACCGCCACTGCAGCGGGGGCCGGGGCGGCCGGGGGATCTCTGCCAGGACTGCGTGCAGGTCCACTGCCTTGGTTTTTTCCTCCACCACATTCTCAGGCATGAGGTCTGCAGGCCGCAGGAGCACTCAGGGTCCTGAAGGGGGCCCTTTCACATCCCGCCCCCAGGCCCTTGGCCCGCCCCCAGGCCACCTGCCCCTCACATTGGTGCTGGATGAAGCAGTGAGCTGCCAGGAGCTTCAGCGAGTGCACTTCGAAGAGCACGCGGTGGAAGAGGAGGTTGTGGGCAGAGGGCCGATGGCTGGGGTCCCGGGCCAGGCAGGAGAGGATGAACTCCTGGGAGCGTGGAGAGGAGAGGCTCAAGTGGGTGCAGTGTGAGGAGAGAAGGCCCCTGAAGTCCCCAGAACCCTAGGGTCCAGTCCTTACGGGAGTCTTCTTGCAGGAACGGGCGTAGGGAGAGGTCTACCGTTAGCAGCCAGGCTGGGACCTGATTCTACAAGTAGGACAATCAGGCCCTAGGCCCAGAACTTGCCATTCTCTACTTCCTGTAACCCTCACAGAAATCGTAGGGGGTCAGTGTCGTCATCCGCAGTTCACAGATGAAGCCTGCGCTGTGGAGGGAGGACCGAAGCCCCCGCCCTGCGGTCCCGGCAGGGGGAGGAGGGGTGCTGGGCAGAGGGCCAGCAGATCAGCCCAGGCTCCTGGAGGTCCGTGTAGCCCAGCACAAACCCGCCTGCCCACAGATTGCTCCGCTTTTGGTCGCCTCAGCCCAGGCCCAGCTCTGGAGATGCCCCGACGGGCCCGTCCCCCGCCCACATACATGCCCTCTGCTGCCCTCACGTCTACGCTGGCTTCACTTCTCACCAGCCCTGTCCAGCCCCGTCCCTTCTGACCCTGACCCCCAGAGGCCACGTGGTCAAGCCGGGTAGCCTGGAGAGACTGTGGACACAGCCTCCATTCCACGCTCCCTTTGTCTCCTCCCCACCACGCCCCCGACATAAGCTGGGGCCGCGCCGCCTCTAGGTGGCTTCCTGGGGCTTAAAGGCAGGGACGTGGAGTGGAACACTGTCTCTCCAAGCCTCTTTCTCGTCTCCAAAACAAGCATAACACTAGTGCTCACAGATGGCATTATCTCTCTGGCCTCTCCTTCCTTAGAAGGACACTTAGGGCCTGCAGGCCTGAAACTCAACGTGCACCGTGGGTAAGGCCCTCCTTGTGGGTAGGCCTTGGTGCAGTGGGGCTGGCATACCCCTCCACGGCACTGAGCCGCTGCACCTCCGGGCCTATCCCCGGCACCACACTGGCCCTACCTGGGACTCCTAAGAGCCAGCTGGGAGGGGCAAGGCCAGTTGCTTACCCGCATGTTGGGGTCGCTCAGTGAGTGCCTGGCACGAGTGATGGCCTCCTCTGTGACCCGGGTGTCTCCATTGGCTTGGATCTCCAGTACAGCCATCTAGGAGGCAGGGCCAGGTCAGGCATGGAGAAGAGATGCAGGGTGAGCTAGCTGGAAGGCCATGAGGCCATTGGGCTAGTACCTCCAGTGCACACATCCCAAAGGAGAAGATGTCCACAGCAGTGCCATCAGCAACCTCTGAAAGGGGGAGAGCAAATCAGGCTGCATACGGAAGAGGCAGCAACAGCAGAAGCTCCCAGACTCGGGACTCACCACCATACTCTGGCGGGAAAAAGTGCAGGTTCCGGAGCTCCTCACGCTCGGCACGGATCGGGCTTCGGAGATCGTCTGGGAGCGCTGTGGAGAGTGCAGAGCATGAGCAGACTGGACCTATCCGTGCCCTCCACCCCCCTTGAGTCCCCACGCACCATTGGAGAAGATGCGGTGCCACACTGCACCGGCCACCACAGGGAGAAAGAGTAGGCGTCAATGTGATGGGGCGTTGGGTGTCCTCTGCCCACGGTTTCCGGCAGCCCCCCGCCCCCCCCGCCCCGCCACCCCCCCCTCCAACCCTGCCAGCACCAGAGCCAATCTTGATGAGGCCGTTGTGCTGTATGAAGATGGTATCACTGGTCAGGTTCCCATGAATGATGGGGGGACTGCAGGCATGTAGAAAGCTGAAGGAGGGAAGGAGAGTAGGTGTAGTCAGGTCAGGGGGCACTGAGGGCATAGGGGCGTGGCAGGGGCAAGCCCAGGCCCTCACCTGAGTGCAGACAGGATCTGCGTGCACCAGCGCTTCCAGGCCTGGTGGTGGATGGACCCCATCGGACCGGTGTGGAGATGCGGCTGGGCCTGTGGCGCCCACCCTGCACCCCCTCCTCACATCCCTGACCCGGCCCCAGCCCATCCTGTCCCCAGAGCTGCCCCTCACCCACATCCCCAGTGCAGCCCCAGCCCACTCCCCATACCCGCGCGTTCATGGCCTTGTGGTTTTTCTTGGTCTTTTTGAGGAATTGCTTGAGGCTGCCCGATGACACGTACTCTGTGATGAAGATGACCTGCGGGGCGGGCGGGCTCCGCCAACTGCAGGCGGGTCCCTGCCACCACCCCCCGTCCCCCACCCCAGCTGTGGCCACATCCCACCCTGTGGTGTGCCTGTGCCCACGGCTCACCCGCGCCCGGGCTTCTGAGGCATCCAGCCAGTATTTGTGCAGCTTGACAATGTTGGGGTGGTCTACCAGCACCAGCTGCTCAAACATGGTCTGGATCTTCTCCTGGGAAGGGGGGTGCGGTCACGGGGTGGTGGTGGGGGTGGGGCGCGGTCGCTCAAGGGGTGGGCAGGCCTCACCTCATGGGCCGCGAAGGCCTTCCTATCCCCGAAGTGCAACTCATTCCACACCACCTCCACCCCCTCCTCTGTGTCCATGGCCAGGAAGGTGCTCTGGACCCCTGGCATGTTCCCCTGGTTCACCTGGCAGTGGGGGTGGGGGATATGTGTCAGGAGACGGAGTGGGGGCTTGGTCTCTACCCACATCCTTGGAGGGAACAGCAAGCATGGGATGCTGGCCCTGACCCCCTCTGGGGGCCAGGAGGAGGGTGGGCCCCTACTAGCCAAGTAGTGGTATCCAGGGGCTGGGCTGAGGGGGTTTGGAGCAGGTTTCAGGGGATTCAGGATGGTCTTCATGGGGCTAGCAGCTCGTCTGGTCGCAGAGGCATGGGGAGGTGATCCTGGGAGGAGACTGGACACTAGGGAACTGGGGGTGCCTCACAGGGCGTGGGGACCAGGCCAAAGGGGGGTCCAAGGGCCGGCCAATTAGGAGGACTGCCTGTGCGAGGCCGCGGAGAGATTTCTGGCCTCCTGGCTGGCCCATGGCCCCGCGTGGCCTCCGCCCCTCCGCCAGAGGTGGGCGGCGACCACCCTCTCCGTCCCCCCCCCCCCGCCCCGCCGTGCCCACCTGCTCTCGCCGCTTCTGCCAGCGGCCGCACGGGCTCTCCTCCAGGATGTCGCTCTCGTCCTCGCTCTCATCCTCCCGCTCCCGCTCCCGCTCCCGCTCCCGGCCCCGCCTCGGCGCCGGCTCCGGGGCCGCCATAGCTCAGCCGGCCCAGGCCGCCGCCCTCCGTGGGATCCGCGGCCCCACGCCGCCGCCGCTCCCCGCCTGCCCCGGCCCGGCGCCCAGACGTCCAGGCGGGAGCGGAGCCGCCGGCCGCCGGCCGCCGCCTCGAGCCCCCACCCTGCTCCTGGAATTGGGAGGCGCGGGCGCGCGGCCGGCCGGGGAGTAGAAGCCGCCCGCCCCTCCGAGGCCGCCGCTTCGGGCCAAAGCCCTAATGGAGAATCCCGGCGGAGGGCAGACCCCGCGCCGCGCCCAGCCCGGGCCCCGCCCATTCTCTGGCAAAGCCACGCCCTGTCCCGCCCGACGACGAAGGCCACGCCCACCCCGCCTACGGCCACGCCCCACCCGAGGGCTCGCCCGGGCAGAACCCCCGCTCGCGAGCCCCATTCCTTATGAGTCCCCCTCCCTGCCTGAAGCCCGGCCTGTCCCTGACTAAGGCCCCGCCCCACGGAGTCCGCCCCGGTCGGGGCCCCGCCTATCCCGCCTAGGGCCCGCCCCCGGAGGTCCTGCTGGGAGCCAGGCGCCCCCCTCCTGCGGGAAGCCTCCGCTGTCGGCTGCAGGGAGAGCAGTCCCCGCCACCAGCCTGACTCCAGCGACCCGACCTCAGGGCTTTCGGCGCCGGCCTGGAGCCGGGTACATCGGATCCTCCCTGGGCGCTCTGCGACCTGCGTGGGACCGGGTCAGGGACTCCGGGAAAGGTCCCTGCCCAGCTTTTGGAACTGCAGGTTCTTCCTGCACCGCCTCCCCACCACACTCATGCTACGCACGACCCGGAACCCAGCCCCAAACCCCGTTCAGTCTCCAGGCTTCCTTCGGCCTGGGGCTTGGACCCGAAGGTCTGGGAGAAGGCCTGGGGTAGGGCACCCCCTCCCCCAAGGAACACGTGGGACAGTCACTGAAGTGATAATAGCAGGCTGACCCAGTGACTTTAATTCATGATCACAAACCTCCCACTGCTTGCAGCTCTGTTCTTTCTATTCTTTTGCACGCGTTTACTGTCCCACACTCCGAAATGGCAATTTCTTCCCTTTCCGATGACACAGAGGAGGCCAAACTACCCTACTAACATGCAGCCCCTTTCTCTTCAGGAGGCCCCTCACCACACCCTCTGGCCATGTCAACAAGAGACACGCTCTAGAATTCTTGCTTAAAATCTCCCTTTACCCCACAACCCCCACTGCCTTCCCATGGTCTCACCCTCTCCCACTTGCTCATTTCCTCCCCCATCCTTCATTGTCTCTTTCTAGGGAGAAAAGTGCTACACACATGTGCTTTCTCTCAAACTCGAACCCCAGCCCTGAACTCCTACTCCATCTCTATTCAGGGGTCTTCAGCCCCACTGGTGTATCAGAGTCAACAGGGACACCTCTCCTTTCCCCAGATGTTGCCATAGATGGCATCTGACCCCTTCCACCACCCCCACTGCTGTCCTCCCTATACGACCCACGTTGCTCACCAGGGCCACTGCAGCAGCCTACTCCTGGTGTCCTGGCTGCCACCTAGCACCAGGAGGCACAACCAAAATGTCTCTCAGCTGCTCACAACTCTCTCTGTAGTGAACACGGAGACCAGGAAGGATGGGCCCCATGTCCCAACAAGACGCCCTTTAATTAAGGACTGAAGATCTAGGATCTTCCAGGGGTCATGCTCCAAGACCTGCACCATTCTCAGAGACTATTCTAGATGAAGCTCCATGTTGCCCTACATGTGTGACATGTTTTTTTCATTGTTTACTTTCTTATCTCTGCATTTAAAACATCTGAACACTCAAAAATCTGAAAAGAAGAAATCTTTGTTTATAAACATGAATATTCCTCTGTAAATTTTGAAGGATATAGCTCCAAAATATGCCAGTCACACAACTCTCTGAAGGAACATATGTAATAGACTGCTCCAAGACAAATTCAGATTGAACCCTCACTGACCACAGAGTGTGGAGCACGGACACCAAGAGGGACCCCAAAGAGCCACAGACCGTTGATTGATAGGAAATGAGTTAGTCCACAAGCAGAAGCATATCTTTGAAATGTATGAGAGTGCATTTAATAAAAACAGGAAAACAACAATCGGATGTATACTATTCAGTGGAACATGACAAAAAAGCAAAAAACGAAGGAAAGACTTCTTAACACTAACCGCAACAAAGTTTATCAGAAAAGGTCAACTAATATCCATCACTAAGATATACACAGACTAAAATTTCACAAGTAAAAATTGCCAGAAATATACATACGAGTATCATGAGAGCATATACTCATTTTCTTTTCTTTTATTTTAATATATTATTTATTTATTTGACAGAGAGAGAGAAGAGCAAGAGAGGGGACACAACAAGGGGGAGTGGGAGAAGGAAGAGCAGGCATCCCACCGAGTAGGGAGGCAGATGCAGGGCTCTCTGTGGGGCTTGATTCGGGGCTCCATGCGGGGCTCATGCGAGGCTCGATCCCAGGAGCCTGGGATCATGACCTCAGCCGAAGGCAGACGCCCAACGACTGAGCCACCCAGGTGCCCCCATATACTCATTTAGCACAACATGGGAAACGTGAAGACGCTACAAGGAAAATGGAAATTATTAGCTTGTCTCCAGATATAAACACATATAACAGGGAGGATACATTACAAAAATGATCAGACTTTTTGGAGATTGCTGAAATGCAGACATATGATTTTAGAAAACGAAGAAAGAATGTCAAGAAAGACCATTCTGCTCAAATAACGGAAAGAAATAAGAGGCCCGTCCCTGGCTCGACGGTAGCTCTCTGGAGAAGCTCCGCATAGGTGAGGTTCTCGTGCGTGTTGGGGTCGAAGAAGCCCTTGGTGTCGTCGCTCGGGTCCGCCAGGACGCGGTTCATCTCCTCGTCGAAGTAGCCGCGCTGGTAGGCCACGTCCACGGGCACGCGGTGGCTGTGCACGGGGTCGATGATGCCGCCCGTGGCGATCTGGGCCTCCAGCAGGCGGATGCCGTGGTCGCGGACGATGACGGCCACCGCCTCCTCCACGGACAGCCTCTGGTTGCGCACGGGGTCGATGACGAAGCCGGTGGCCGCCTGCGCCTCCAGCAGCACCAGGGCCGTGCCGGGCCGCAGGACGCCCTTCCACATGGCCTGGTAGATGCTCATCTTCTCCTGCCGCCCGGGCTCGTCCTTGGCGGGCACCAGCACGCCCGCGATGCAGCTCGTGCCCTGCAGGTAGCGCTTGACCGAGTCCATCTCCGTCACCTCCTGCAGGGTCTTGGTGCCCTTTTCCAGGTCATGCATCACCTCTTTGCTGATGATTTCTGCATCGATGAGTTCCGAAGCCGTGATTTGTTTTCGGATACCCGGGAACCATAGTTGCTTCTTGCCTTTTTCTTTCTCATCTATTAGTTCTAAAATAATGTTTACTACCTTTTCCAATGCCTGGGTCATGTTTATTTTATAGTCAGTGATTAACTGGAGTTTCATCTCGTGAGGCACGTACTCAGAGTCGAGTAGTTCCCACAGTGATGGCTTCCTGTCCTTGTACCTTCCCACCTGGATCTGCACCTGCTCGGCTTCTAAGGCCCTCCTTGTTGCCTTGTCAATATAGGCACAGGTTTGGTGGTCCCTGACTACCAGGAAGAGAGCCCAATCAGTCCCTGCTTCTTTTTGGCTCCTCTCCTGTAGCTGTTGGTACGTGACCCTCTCCTGAGTGTTTGGATCCACATACCTTTTGTTCATGTGCTTCTGATCTGCAACGAGTGGGTATGTGTCCTCGTGCAGACAACCCCGTCTGTAGGCCATGTCCAGTGGGAGCCGGTGGTGGTGCAGGGGGTCGATGATGCCCCCCGTGGCCACCTGCACCTCCAGCAGTCTCAGTGCTTCCTCTCTTTGGACGAACTTCCTCTGCATGGCCTGGAACAGTGAGATCGTGTCTCCCGTGGCTGGGTCTGTGTAGCCTAGGGCGGCCTTCTCAGCATCCAGAAGCCTTGCCTTCAGTTCTTCACCCACCAGGCCCTCAGCCACGGCATACTGCACAGAGAGCCTCTTCTGGCTGCAGGGATCCAGCATGAATCCCGTAGCTGCCTGGGCCTCCAGCAGCTGAGCCGCAAACCCCATGGGGATGAGTCCTTTCCTGCTGGCCTCGTAGAAGCTCATCACCTCTTGGGTAGAGGGTATAGTCACCCCCGCAATGCAGCCACTGCCTTCCAGATAGGGCCTCACGTGCGCCAACCTGCTGAGATCCTGCCCCCCTGATTTCTCCCGGGACAGGGCATCCAGGGTCCTTTTATCAATGACTCCAGAGTTGAACAACTCTGCAGCTGTCACTTCTCCACGGATAGCTGCCACCTTCATGTCCTGGTATTGCTCCTCTATTTCTTCCACCGTAGCAGTGATGACCCCCAATAGCTGCTCTAGGGACATATTCTGGGCTCTGTACTTGTGGATGAGCTCCCGTTTCCTTTCTTCTGTGAAGTACTGAGATGACAGTAGGTCCCAGAGGGAGACCTTCTGACTGGCGAACCTCCCCACATGCATGGTCATAGTTTGGGATTGCAGAAGCTGCTTTGAGGCTTCATCAATATAAATGTAGGTTTCTCCTTTCTTCACAATTTGTAATAGGTAGAGCCCCGTCTCGGGGTCGAGCACACAGCGCTCCAGCAGCTGCAGGTACGTGAGGTTCTCGTGCGTGTTGGGGTCGAAGAAGCCCTTGGTGTCGTCGCTCGGGTCCGCCAGGACGCGGTTCATCTCCTCGTCGAAGTAGCCGCGCTGGTAGGCCACGTCCACGGGCACGCGGTGGCTGTGCACGGGGTCGATGATGCCGCCCGTGGCGATCTGGGCCTCCAGCAGGCGGATGCCGTGGTCGCGGACGATGAGCTCCTTCTTCATGGCCTGGAAGAGGGAGATCTGCTGCCCGGTGTAGGGGTCCGTGTAGCCGGTGACGGCGCGCTCGGCCGACAGCAGCTTCTCCTGGATCTCGCCGCCCACCACGCCCGCGGCCACCGCCTCCTCCACGGACAGCCTCTGGTTGCGCACCGGGTCGATGATGAAGCCGGTGGCCGCCTGCGCCTCCAGCAGCACCAGGGCCGTGCCGGGCCGCAGGACGCCCTTCCACATGGCCTGGTAGATGCTCATCTTCTCCTTTGTGCCCTGGATGAGGACCCCAGCAATGAAGTTGCCTCCCTCCAGGTACCACCTGATGCTGCTCCTCTCCGTCACCTCCTGCACCGCCCTTCTGCCCTGATTCAGCGCGTCCAGCGTCTCCTTGTCAATCAGCTGGGACCTAAACAAGTCACTGGCCGACACCAGCTTCCGGAGTCCTCTAAAGCTGGCCTGTGAGGGCTGTCTCTCTGAGGTCTCAACCAGGGCAGTGACAGCCACAGCCACATGCCGCAGGGCGGTGGCCCTCCCGGACTGGCAGAGCGCCACCAGCTCCCACCGTTTGTGGATGTCGATGTACTCTGAGTGGAGCAGGTCCCACAGCGACACACTGAGACCTTTGAACCTCCCAGTGCCGACAGGCACCTTCATGGCCCTCAGGGCCACCAGCGTGTGCTCGTCCACCTTAAGCACCCTGTCCTGGGCAAGCGGAAGCAGCCACAGGCCGGTGTCAGTGTCCAGGACACAGCGCTCCTTGAGCTGGTTGTACGTCACCTTGTCCTGTGAGCTGGGGTCAAAGAAGAACTTACTGTCCTCGGCTGTTGAGGTTAGCACCCGGCTGACCTGCTCGTCCAGGAGGCCAAGCCTGCAGGCCGCCGCCTCGGGCAGGTGCACCCCGTGGACAGGGTCCACTGCACCCCCTGTGGCCAACTGCACCTGTAGGAGGGGGAGGCCCTCACTTTGGGGCACTAGCCCCTTCTCCATGGCCTGCCACAGTGAGAGAGCGCCTCCTGAATAGGGGTCAGTGTGCCAGGTCACGGCCCTCTCGGCTTGTTGCAGCTGCTCATGCAGTGCCCCAGCCACCAGGCCGGCCTTGACGGCACCTTCCACAGATAGCCTCCGGTTGGTCAGAGGGTCAATGAGGGAGCCGGATGCCACTTGGGCCTCCAGCAGCCTTCGCCCCAGGCCCTCGGGCAAGAGGCCATCCCTCACAGCCTGGCTGATGCTGACCTTGGCCCCCGACGGCTGCAACAGCATACCGGCTATGCAGCCCGTACCCCACAGGCAGGCCTTCACGGCGGGCTGCTCAGCAACCTCGGCAGGTGACTGTGTGCCCTCAGCCAGCGCCACCAGGTTCTCCTGGGTGATGATGCTGGCGTCCAGCAGCCAGACAGCAGGAATCTCCCCCCTTGGGCCGGGCACCATGACACGAGCCTGTGCCAGGAGCTCTGCCTCACGCACCTGCTTCTGCACCGTTTCCTGAAGCTGCTGCGCCGTGGTCTTCCCTGCCCTAAAGTCCTCCAAGAGGCTCTTCCGCTGCTCGTCGGTGAAGCAGCAAGAGCTCAGGAGCTCCCAGAGGGACGTGCCGTCCTCAGCCCCCGGCACGGTCTGCAGGGTCTCCTGGACCTGCTCATCAGTGGGGACAGCAGCAGCATTTTCTGGCAGGGGCAGGAAGTAAAGCCCAGAGGCCTCGTCCCTCACACACTGGTCCAGGAGCTGGGCATAGCTGGTGTGTCCCCGGCCATCTGGCGTGGGGAAGGTCTTGGAGGAGCTGGACAAGGCCATCGCCATCTCCTGGTCGAGGTAGCCACGCTGGGTGGCCACAGGCATGGGGAGGCGATGGTGGCCTGTGGGGTCAATGACCCCTCCTGTGGCCACCTGGGCATCCAGGAGGCGGGCAGCCTGATCTACAGGGACAAGGCCCTTCTTCATGGCCTGGAACAGGGATACCCACTCCCCAGAGAAGGGGTCTCTGAAGCCGCTGACAGCGTCTTCTGCCTGCCTTAGCCTGCAGTACAGCTCTGGGCCCACCAGCCTCCTGCGCACGGCCTCATCCACGGACAGGGTCTCCAGACCGTGGGGGTCAACAATGGCTCCAGTGGCCGCCTGAGCCTCCAGCAGGGCTAGCGCCACGCCTGGCCCCAGCAGCTTCTGCTTCATGGCCTGGTAGAGGCTGAGCCGCCGGCTGGAGGACTGCAGCAGCACGCCGCCCACAGCACCCGAGCCACGCAGGGCCCGCTGGACACCGTCCATGTGAAGGAGGGCCTCGGGGCTCACTGCCCCCTCCAGTACCCGGTCCAGCAGCTCTTGGTCAATGATTTGGGCCTCCCAGAGCTGGTAGGCTGTGACTCGGCCCCGGAGCATGGGCAGCGTGATGTCCACCCACCTCCCCACTGCTCTCCCCAGCAGCTGGACCACCTGTGCCAGTGACACCCTGTGCTGTCGGTAGTCCCGCAGGACCTGCCTCCGCTGGTCCTCGCCGAAGCACTCTGAGTTGATCAGCTCCCATGCGGAAACCCTCTGTCCCCGGAACCGCCCATACCTCACAGACAGCAGCAGGCTCTGGAAGGCCCGTCGGGTGGCGCCGTCCACCAGCTCGGGCTGCGAGCGGCCGAGGGGCAGCAGGTGCAGCCCCGTCTCGGGGTCGAGCACACAGCGCTCCAGCAGCTGCAGGTACGTGAGGTTCTCATGCGTGTTGGGGTCGAAGAAGCCCTTGGTGTCGTCGCTCGGGTCCGCCAGGACGCGGTTCATCTCCTCATCGAAGTAGCCGCGCTGGTAGGCCACGTCCACGGGCACGCGGTGGCTGTGCACGGGGTCGATGATGCCGCCCGTGGCGATCTGGGCCTCCAGCAGGCGGATGCCGTGGTCGCGGACGATGAGCTCCTTCTTCATGGCCTGGAAGAGGGAGATCTGCTGCCCGGTGTAGGGGTCCGTGTAGCCGGTGACGGCGCGCTCGGCCGACAGCAGCTTTGCAAACACATCAGGCCCAATGAGGCCGGCCCTCAGTGCCTCCTCTACAGAGTATGTCTTGTTTTCCTTTGGGTTAAGGATGAAGCCCGTGGCCACCTGGGCCTCCAGGAGGATGAGTGCTGTGCCGTGCCTGAGAAGCCCCTTCCCGCGAGCCTCGTAGATACTGAGCCGCTCCTGGGAGCCGGTCAGCAGCACGCCCGCGATGCAGCCAGTGCCCTGCAGGTACCTCCGGACCGAGTCCAGCCTGCCCACTTCCTGGGCTGTGGTTTGTCCTCGCTTCAGCTGCTCGTACACGTCCTGGTCAATGATCCCTGCTTTCAACAGCTCATCTGGCGTCACGGGCCCCCTGAGCCCAGCAAAGGTGGTCCTGGCCGTGGCTGCAGCCTGCTCCAGGGTGGCCCTCAGCACCGCCGCCAGTTCCTCCAACGAGATGGCGCCTTCCTGGTGCTGCTGGGCCAGTGCCGCCCTCTGCTCTGCGGAGATGGGCTCGGAGAAGAGCAGCTCCCAGAGTGACGCAGGCCGGCCCTGGAACTTGCCCACGGAGATGGTGGCCGTGGCCTCACTTAAGGCCTGCCGGGTACTGTGGTCAATGAATGGGGGTCCTTGTGGCTCCCCTCCGAGGGCCCCGTCTGAGAGAGGAAGGAAGGCCAGCCCTGTCTCTGGATCGGTGACACAGCGGGCCATCAGCTGCCCATAGCCAAGGCTCCCCCGTGTGCTGGGGTCCGAGAAGCCAGTGGCCTGGGAGACACACTGCCACGTCTCTTTGTCCAGGCATCCGAGGCGCAGGGCAGCCTCCAGGGGCAGCCGGAGCCTGCGGGCTGGACACACTGGCCCACCTGTGGCCAGCTGGGCATCCAGGAGTCGCAGCGCCAGAGGCCTGTCCACCAGCTCCTTCTTCATGGCCTGGAAGAGGGAGACTCGCCCGCTGCTGAAGGGGTCATCGTACCCCGTCACCGCCTGCTCGGCCACCAGCAGCTGCCTGTGGAGCTCTGGGCCGAGCAGGCCTGACCTAACAGCCTCATCCACGCTTAGCCGCCGGCCAGTGGCTGGGTCCACCAGCGTGCAGGTGGCAGCCTGAGCCTCCAGAAGTGGGAGTGCCGTGCCCATTGGGAGCAGGTGCTCAGTGATGGCCTGGAAGAAGCTCTTCTTGTGGCCCGCGGGCAGCAGGACAACCCCTGCCACGCCGCCCGTGCCCTGCAGGTAGCGCTTCACAGACGCCCATCTGCTTACATCTGACGCCACCAGCTTGCCCTCCTGAAGGCCCCGGACGGTCTCCCCATCCAGGACCCCCACCTCCAGCAGCTCTGCCAAGCTCACTGCCCCACTCAGGGTCTGGAAAGTGGTCTTGAGGGGCAGCAGAGCCAGCCCTGTACTAGGGTCTCTCACGCACCTGCCCAGCAGCCTGTGGTAGGACAGCCACTCCCCCGTGTTGGGGTTCAGGAAGCCAGGGGCACCGGAGCTGGGCTTGCCCTCTGCCAGGCCACGCCACGTCTCCTGGTCCAGGAGGCCCTGCTGGCAGGCCAGCTCTGGGGTCACTCGCACACCCCGAATGGGATCCACCAGGCCCCCAGTGGCCAGCTGGGCCTCTAGCCAGCTGCACCCCAGTGCTCGCTCCAGCACCTCCTTCCTGATGGCCTGGAAGAGTGCCAGCCTCCCGCCACCGTAGGGATCGGGGTACCCAGTGATGGCCCGCTCAGCAGCCAGGAGCCTCTCCTTTAGCTCCAGGCCTACCAGGCCCTGCCGCACGGCCTCAGACACAGAGAGGAAGTGGCCCTGCGTGGGGTCCACAAGGCCCCCAGTGGCGGCCTGGGCCTCCAGCAGAGCCAGCCCAAGCTCACCGGACAGGAGGCCCTGCTTCATGGCGGTGTAGAGACTCTGAGCCTGGCAGGAGGCCTCCACGTATACCCCAGCGATGCTCTTGGATTGGGGCCCGGAGGGGGTGCTGGTTCCCAGCATGGCCTTCATGGTCTCGGGGACGGTGGTCAGCTCAGTGCCGTTGGTGGCCAGGACATCAAGAGGAGGAGAGGTGTGGCCATTCATCATGCTTGGCCAGTTGTGTAGAATTCACTCACCCAAGGCCCACTGTGTTTGCTCCCTGCGGGGGGAGAAAGGCTCTGTTAGGGGCCCTGGGACGGCCCAGGCAGGCAGCAGGGGAACAGTCAGGGGTCAGCCCCAAACCCTGAATCAGCCTGGGGGACGGGGATCAGCATCCAAGTGAGGCCCTTTGCCTTGCCCTGTGGGGTCCCAGGAGGGACCACGAGGGTCCTCAGGCCGACAGGGTAGCCTTCAGGATGTGTGGGCTCTGTTTTCTCCTGTGGGCCATCCTCTGGCCTCCATCCTAGCCCAACACCCTCAGGGTCCTGGTGTGGGCCGGGCCTGGAAGGGCCTGCATGCTCCGGGTGGGGGCAGCCCCGTGCCCCCCGGCCTGTGGCCCCACCCACCCTCATCCTCCGCCTCTAATTTACCCCTTCCAGCCTCACAGGCCTCCCCTCTGCTCCCCAGAGCTCTTTCCCTGTCCTGCCACCCCTTGGGTTCAGGGACACCAGTACCCTTCCCCCTTCCAGTCATCTCCTCCAACCCCCCACCCCACCCTGGAGCCTTTGCTCCGGCCTCTGTTCCTTCCCAGACCCCCAGTGGGCTCCAAGCAGGAACCCCCAGAGTCTCCTGCCTTGGTCTGACTCGGTGTCCTCCCTGCCCCCAGCCCCCAACCCCTTTGCTCTCTGGATTGTATCCTCTCTGTGCCCACACCTGGCCTCAGAGGCCCAAGAGAGCAAAGACTCAGTGCTCGTGAGCTGGTCTCGCAGGAGCCGTGGGGATGGCCAGGCACTGGGCGCTCTGGTCAGCTCGCTCAGAGCCCCAGCAGCACCATAGCTGTCCCCTCTCAGCAGACAGCTGTGTGCCCCAATTCTCTGAGCTGCGGTCATAAGTACCCCACTTCCCATCCCCTAGCATACCTGCACACTAACCTCCTTCATCCACATCCATCCCCTTCCTGTGGGGTTCAGTCATGTCCCCCAGAAGAGATGTCCTAGTCCTAACCTCCAGGACCTATGACCCTAGCCTTATTTGGGTCTTTGCATCTGTAACTCAGTTGCAGTCACAGAGTAGGGAGGGCCCTAATCCCTGACACTACTGGTGTCTCTACAGGAAGACAGAGGCGGAGGGGTGCACCCGTGCAGGACCACTTCCCCGTGCTGAAGCAGACCCTGGACTCTGGCCCCGTGAACCGGGATAGGAGTTGTTGTGCTAAGCCGCCCAGGTTATGGTAATGTTGCAACAGCTCAGGGAGCCATGGCCTCCCTCCCTCCTCCACCCCGTGAGCCGGCCCACACCCGGTTTCCACAGAACCACACTTTATTCCCTGCTGGCGCTGGCCCTCAGCTCGGGAGCCCGACCACGCCTGCCCCGGCCTCAGAACCGGCTCTCGGCCCGTGCCCCACGCAGGCCTTGGGACAAGGCTCAGGCACATGTACATCCCCACTCCACGGCTCTGGCTAAGGTGACCTTGGACTCTGGCTGCCAAACTCAACAAATGCATTTTGGATCTGACTACCCCGCCTCTGGGTCACGGCTGCGCGGCCTTCTCGCTGGTGACTTACCCATGAAACCAGGGAGCCCCTCACACTGCCTTCAGTCCCCCAAATCTGCATCAGAAGCCCAGCCTGCCCTGGGGTCCCGGAGCCACATGCCTGGCTGCCTCCTGAGGAGCCTCAGACTCCACAGCACCCCACAACTGCTCGTGCTCAATTTCTGCCTCATGCACTCTGTCCAGCTGGAGCCCTGAATCCCTCACCCCTTCTCCTGCCCCTGCTGGCCCCACCAGGGGTCCTTGTCATGCCCGCCCACCTCAGGTCGGTGCCTATGGCCTCCAAGCACCTCTCAGCCTCACAGCTTGCAAGTACCTATGGTGTCGCTCAAGACCACCTTCCCTGTTCCTGCCCTCTCCATCGCCTCCAGCCCTGGAGCAGGGTGGGGGCAGCAAGTGATCGAGGGGGTGGGCAGCTGAGACCTCCACAGGAAGGCCTCAGTGGCCAGGGCTGTGCGGGGGGGCAGCATGGCCCAGCAGGGTGTCGAGCCCCCACTGTCGACAAGAATCAGCCAGGGCTTCAATGACACACAGATCTGGTAGGGTGGACGCTTCCAGGTGGTGCCCAGACCCCATTCGGGACTTAAGGAGGGCTGCGGGCAGATGGCCCCCACTTCTGTCCCCTCAGGAACTGCCTTGCCCTTCCTAGGGCTGCACTGGCTCAGTCCCTCGACTTGGTTTGGGACCCTCCTGCAAGTCCCTCGGGGTGGGTGAAATCCTGTCCCCTTCCCTTCCCATACACAGATGTGGGGCCTGAGCCTCTGGACCCCAGGAGCTATGTGCTGCTCAGAAGCTCAGACAGGTGGTTCCAGGACCAGGCAGACACTGAGTGGAGCTTTGGAGGGGTAGCTGCCACCTGGCTGGCCATGGGAGCTGGGCTCCAGGAAGGGCCTCGACCCACCAACTTTCCCACCTAAGCGGAGCGTAGCATCAGGCATTTGAGAAGGGGGCTCATATGGAGCACAGGGTGGAATGGGGGGGGTGTTGCTAAGCAACCAAGCTTCAGAAGACAATCACAAACAGCTGTGAGGGACCAGCTGGGCATCTAAAGCCCATGTGGGCACCTGGGGCTTCGAAGTGACCAGTGAAGAGGCTCTGGTCTCTGCAGGGCAGGCTGGGTCAGTGCCGTCGTGTGAGGGGCACTGCGGGCAAGCTGCAGCACCAGCTCCCAGGTGGCCCCATTCCCCGGGAGGGGGTGTACTACCTAAAATGTGATGCACCTGTCCCCCGCAGATGGACCACATGGGTCCAGGAGCCAAGCGATGGAAGGAGATGTGGCCCCCCACCATCCCTCCAATGACCCCACTTCCCGTCCCTGCGGCTCCGGGGTCAGTTCCAGAGGATGACGGCTTCTGTCAGGGACGGTCCCACTGCGCTGAGGGCCATGGCTCCTCGTGTCCGGGACCAAGAGGCCAGAAGAGGAGTGACCTGACCGCCAGGAGGACGTGGGGTCTGTGCCGGGGTGAGGGCGACGGGTGTGCCCCAGAGGCCCACACCTGGTTCTGGTGGCCAACGCCCAGTGTTGCCACCTGAGGGGAGCACCAAGCCCAGCACACATGCAGTGGGGGCGGCCAGGGCAATGAGGAGCAGAGCAGAGGAAGGAGGCCCTTGTCCTGCGGCTTCCCCAGGACAAGAAGCCCATCGGTGCCCTGGGTGCCGGTGGTGGGTGTGAGGCCCCCCTGACCTCCTCCCAGCGGTGAGACTGCATTACAGGCCAGCTGGCTCCTGCCCTCCCCACCACCACCCTGGCTTCCTTCCGCAGGGGCCGTCCTGAGCCCACTCCTAATGCTCCTGCGGTCAGCTTCTGCTTCTGGGACCCGACCTGGACTCATGCTTTGCTGCCCAGCGGCACCAATGACTGGCACGTGTGTAAAGTGTGCCTTGTTCCAGGATGGCCTTCAGAGGGTCTGTGAGCCCAGGGGAGCCCCGCACGGCCCGCACTCAGCCCTGCCCCAGTCCCAGCAGGAGCTCCAGGTAACAGGGCTGTGGGGTAGTGAGAACAGTGTGCCTTCCCTTGGCAGGGGACAAGGGTGGGGAGAGAAAAGAGGTACCTTACTACCCAGCAGAGGGATGGAAGGGTGTTCTGGGCCACGGCGGGGGCAGGAGCAGCCAAGTGAGCAGGGCCGTGGGTGGCCCTTGGCCTGGACATGGGCAGCCAGCCTGCAGCTAGACACGCTGCGCTGGGGCGGGGGTGGGGGGCAGTGCCAGGCAGGCACTAGAGAGGAAAACTAGAGCCAGTATGCACTCAGGCGAACAGGAGGCTCCAGTTTCCTGCACAAAGGGATTCATGGTGGGAGGGAGGGGGCTGGGTGTCTGAGGGTGCAGGAGAGCAGGAAGTGAGGGCCGAGGGCCAGGGAGTCCCTGTGCCGGTGGCAGCTGGGCCACGCCTCCATTTGGCTGACAGTGACCTTGAGCCTGGTCGGAGTCTCTCTGGAGCCTGCCCAGGTGGGACATGAGGAGGATCCTGGGAGTGGGTACTTGAGTCCGCAGTGGGGACCTTGGGAAGGCGGCTGGACAGAGGGGTGTGGAGCTTGGGAGAGACAGAAGACCCGAGCATGTGACTGGTGTCCAGGGCCTGGGGAGTGCGAAAGGGAGTGGTTTCAAGGGTGGGAGGCCCAGGCAAGCCCAACGTCACAGAAGCCAAAAGATGGGTATCCCACAGAGGTGGCCACCAGCAGATGTGGGCATGGTGTGTGACCCAACAGGCTAGTGGCCTTGGGGCTGGGTGAGAGAGGCTAAGCAGATTTTCTGGGGAAGAAAAGGGAATCTGAGAGGGGGTAGGACTCTTCCTGTGGCTTCCCTGGAGTGGCCCCATCTCAGGTGGCCCCCAGGCAACAAGGAGAGGAAGACAATTCCTGAGGAGGGTGAGTCTGCATTCCTTGGGTGTGGGCCGCCATTTGTCACCACCCCCGAAGGTCAGCCCCCCTCTCCAGCCTGGGATGGGAGTGGGGCAGAGGGCTAGCTGGTGCTCCACCTGCGCCACATCAGGACAGAACTAGGCGGCCAGGCTGCTCAGGCCCACAGGGGGGTGCTGCCCAAGGCAGCAATCTTGGCCCTTGCCGGACTGTGGGCAACTGCAGCAGGATCACCCACCTCCGTGGGGCAGAGACCAATGGCCACAGAAGCTTGGCATGACGGGAGGGTACAGGGAAGGCAGAGCCCCTCCCGACCCTACCTCCGAAGGATCTTGCCTGTGCCCACCCATCCCCGACAGCAGGTAGCACCCCAATTGGCCAGGGCCGCAGCCAGGAGCAGCGCTGCCCCTCAATCTGTCAACCTAATTACCTCGCACCGCCCACCACCGTAGGCGCCCGACTCACCCCTGCCCCTAGTGTCCACACCCCCTCCCCACGCCCCGCCCTACAAGGTGACCTCCCCCCCCCCCCGCCGCCGCCGCCAGAAACCTAACCTGCAGGACCCCGCCCACAGCGGCACACCAGCCCTGCCGGGAAAC